GAGTTGACAAAGAGCTGACGTTGAGTAAAAATGGGAGTTGGTAAAGTGTTAGCATTAGGTAAGGATTGGAATTGCTATTTGGTAGGATGGGAGGGCTGGAGGTTAGGACGAGGATAGCATCAGGAGTTTGATCGGGGAAGATTTCAAATTCAGTGTTAAACTAGGGTGGATGAGTTTTAAATATTTGTTGGAAATGGTTGTTGGTTAACTCCTTTTTTAATAAGGCATTTGTTTGTGAGTATTGGAATATACATGTGTGAATGCAATAGCTATTGTCTCCAATTAAGTAAGGTCAAAGAAAGTCCTAAAATATGATGTAAACAGTGAAAATGTTTTAGGGCCTGTTGTAGACTATGTAATGTTGCAGAATGAAAGACATTCAGAACAAAAGAAGAGAGACATGGATAAGCCATGTACTGCAGAGCCAAGGATTCATCATATAATAGAGAGAAAGGAGATTAGATTGTAGAGGATGGTCTAGTAACACCAGGGGAAGGAGATTAGATTGTAGAGGATGGTCTAGTAACACCAGGGGAAGGAGATTAGATTGTAGAGGATGGTCTAGTAACACCAGGGGACGGAGATTAGATTGTAGAGGAAAGTCTAGTAACACCAGGGGACGGAGATTAGATTGTAGAGGAAAGTCTAGTAACACCAGGGGAAGAGGAAAGTCTAGTAACACCAGGGGAAGGAGATTAGATTGTAGAGGATGGCTTAGTAACACCAGGGGAAGGAGATTAGATTGTAGAGGATGGTCTAGTAACACCAGGGGAAGGAGATTAGATTGTAGAGGAAAGTCTAGTAACACCAGGGGTAACACCAGGGGAAGGAGATTAGATTGTAGAGGATGGTCTAGTAACACCAGGGGACGGAGATTAGATTGTAGGGGAAAGTCTAGTAACACCAGGGGAAGGAGATTAGATTGTAGAGGATGGTCTAGTAACACCAGGGGAAGGAGATTAGATTGTAGAGGAAAGTCTAGTAACACCAGGGGAAGGAGATTAGATTGTAGAGGTCTAGTAACACCAGGGGAAGGAGATTAGATTGTAGAGGATGGTCTAGTAACACCAGGGGAAGGAGATTAGATTGTAGAGGATGGTCTAGTAACACCAGGGGAAGGAGATTAGATTGTAGAGGATGGTCTAGTAACACCAGGGGAAGGAGATTAGATTGTAGAGGAAAGTCTAGTAACACCAGGGGAAGGAGATTAGATTGTAGAGGATGGTCTAGTAACACCAGGGGAAGGAGATTAGATTGTAGGGGAAAGTCTAGTAACACCAGGGGAAGGAGATTAGATTGTAGATTGTAGAGGATGGTCTAGTAACACCAGGGGAAGGAGATTAGATTGTAGAGGATGGTCTAGTAACACAGGGGAAGGAGACCAGGGGTAACACCAGGGGAAGGAGGAGATTAGATTGTAGAGGAAAGTCTAGTAACACCAGGGGAAGGAGATTAGATTGTAGAGGATGGTCTAGTAACACCAGGGGAAGGAGATTAGATTGTAGAGGATGGTCTAGTAACACCAGGGGAAGGAGATTAGATTGTAGAGGATGGTCTAGTAACACCAGGGGACAGAGAGAAGATTGTAGAGGATAACACCAGGGGAAGGAGAAGGAGATTAGATTGTAGAGGTCTAGTAACACCAGGGGACCAGGGGAAGGAGATTAGATTGTAGAGGAAAGTCTAGTAACACCAGGGGAAGGAGATTAGATTGTAGAGGATGGTCTAGTAACACCAGGGGACGGAGATTAGATTGTAGAGGATGGTCTAGTAACACCAGGGGAAGGAGATTAGATTGTAGAGGAAAGTCTAGTAACACCAGGGGAAGGAGATTAGATTGTAGAGGATGGTCTAGTAACACCAGGGGAAGGAGATTAGATTGTAGAGGATGGTCTAGTAACACCAGGGGAAGGAGATTAGATTGTAGGGGAAAGTCTAGTAACACCAGGGGAAGGAGATTAGATTGTAGGGGAAAGTCTAGTAACACCAGGGGAAGGAGATTAGATTGTAGAGGATGGCTTAGTAACACCAGGGGAAGGAGATTAGATTGTAGAGGAAAGTCTAGTAACACCAGGGGAAGGAGATTAGATTGTAGAGGATGGTCTAGTAACACCAGGGGAAGGAGATTAGATTGTAGAGGAAAGTCTAGTAACACCAGGGGACGGAGATTAGATTGTAGAGGAAAGTCTAGTAACACCAGGGGAAGGAGATTAGATTGTAGAGGATGGGCTAGTAACACCAGGGGACAGAGAGAAGATTGTAGAGGATGGTCTAGTAACACCAGGGGACGGAGATTAGATTGTAGAGGATGGCTTAGTAACACCAGGGGAAGGAGATTAGATTGTAGAGGAAAGTCTAGTAACACCAGGAGAAGGAGATTAGGTTGTAGAAGATGGTCTAAAAATGTGATGTTAGAAAATTCTAAGGCAGACTGTTGACTCTCACTTCTTCCTTAAAATCAAATAGCAATAAAATGCATTTCTTGCATGCTTTAGATTGAAGTGGTGTCATCATTTTCAAGGTTGGCATAACAAAATCATTTGTCTGTAGGAAAAATCATGGATGCTGTATAAAGCGGAAAATTGTCAGAATTTTCAGGAAATAGTCTTCATCTTCAGTTTTTTTTTCCTCAAGAACCCAAATATTTGCTTTATGTGGTTGCCTGGCATTCCGATCAGAAACAGAACAATTAGTTATTATTTTATCGAATTTCAGCCTAATTAATGGAGAGCCAGTTTCCAAATATTTTGAATGGTTTTATTACAGTATTATTAACATTGTGGCATGTTTTCAGATGTGAACATTTTATTAAATTATCTCGCGGTCTGATTAATTGGCAACAAATTACCGAGTATTTTTTTGATAATTCCACAATTTGCTGAGGGTAAAATTGATGAGGCTTCCTACATTTACAAATGATTCACACACACAACTGTTCCTTTTCTGATGCAGAACTTAAAGTAAAAAATGTAACTATTGTAATTAAAAGATAACTAGAGAGATCTGTACGAAATAAAAAAGAGTTTTGATTGTGTTGAAAAGAAACCATGTTTAAGGTAGTATTTCTAATGTATTACTGGTACGACCAGTTTTATCCCAGTTCGAAACTTCAGTGAAATATTTTTTCAGATTTAGAGATTTTGATATAGAAAAAACAGTGTGAACACCATATAAGAAAAAAAAAATGAATTTGTCAATAATTTGAAGGGTTTAGAGAAGCCTATGAACAAAGTAATGTTCTTTTTCTGCTTTAGGTCAGAAGTTGTGCAATACAATTATACAGTCTCGAATCCTTTTGTACTACACACATTTTAAACTTACTTAAAGTTCCACTATTACAACTGAACTAAAGATTTCCTTGGAGAATCCTCGGGCGGATAAAAAATTGTTATTATTCAGGTAAGTTTTTATTTTTCCAGTCAGTCAGAATTTCAAGATGGTCGCTGCTTTTTTTGAGTCTTTCAAACTTCTGCAGTTCCACTCTGCCATATAGCTAAGATTTGGTTGTAATGTTCCTGAATTAAAGTCGACAAAATATTTGTATTTTTTGGCACCTTTGTTACATGATTTTTTACTCATTTTACTTAAAGAATGGAACGGAAACTCTCAGAACGAATCTAGTGATACAATAACAATATTGTTGAATAAATTTTAAATTACGGTTTTCACTACAAGTAATACTGTTGCAGTGTATTTGGGTTTTCATTTTCAGATGATCGTTAATGCTTATGGGCCTCTTGTAAATAAAAGCGTTTGAAAAATATTTGTGAAAATCTGTGCAGGTGTGATGATTTATGATCAACATTTAAAAATTAAAACAAATTTGAATCTGTGTACAAATGCTGTGTACGGAAAATGGTTCCCCCGATTACGATAACTAGCTCTTTTCATTCAGGTTGAAATACCTGTACAGGTGCGTTTTAATATGTAAACTGAACACATGATGTTTGTATAACCCCATAGGTCAGTGAAAATTCAAATATCTTTTGAGAATATAATTATTTGGAGTTGAAAGTAATTTGCAATGATGTGAGGTGAAGAAAGAGGCAATGAAAACTAACTATGGACACCTGTTGTATTATTTCATATGACCATTATGACCTTAAATGTCATTCAGAAAATTGTTTCTGAAGTAACGATTGGTGCTAAAGCAATTTGATCACAGAGTGTAAATAAAAGATTGTGTTGGTAGTTACTATGTTAAAATATTTTAAAGCTGTAAACTGCCAGGAAAAGCTATACACTTTGGCAAAATTTAGAGTAAAACTTGCTAGAAAGACCTTCCCAAACCTGTCCAAGGTGACCCCTCGTAGAGAGCCTCTCAGGGGGAACTGTTTTCCCATTATTATACATTATCGAGTAAAATCTCTGAACTGTTTTGTTTTATCAATTTACTTAGTAAATATTAATGATCTACTGATAGTTATTGTATAGTGTTTGTCATTACATCCCAAGCTGACATTGATACAACACAGAGTTGCATGTACTCATGCAATGTCCTGGGTATGTTAGACATAGTGATCAATGGGTTTCCGTCTGTGATATTAATGTACTTACTTCATAATCTGTGCTGTCATATCACATGACCTGTGTTGTAATACACGGGTATCTTACAACCTTAACCATAACAGAGGTAAAAAAAATATAAATAGGTTATGCTTGAGAAGGGAAAGAGAATGATATCTACCCTTAGTTTAGTGCAGTCTAGTTAGCTACAACTTGTGTGGAGTACTTAAGAGCTATTATGACAAGGCAGAAACTGGAAACTAACAGAGTGAAACACAGTGCAATGAATTGACAAACTACTAGAAAAATCTCACAAGGATATGATTCAGAATACATGTATGTAAGTACCATAGATGTACCAGATGCTGTTTCCTTCTTGTTGTTAAGTATGATCTGGCCAGCGTGATTATGTAATAGTACACTACAGATTTACACCATAAGTAATATAAGTACAGTTATAGGCACAAGGCATGAGGATCACCAACAGCTTTTGTATATACTACATTATATTCTCAAGATCTGAATCCAGTGCTTGGACAGGATTGTGTGAGGAGGTCAGTCAGTAGGTCAGTATCAGAAAAATTTTAAAATTTGTACAAACATTTTATTTATCTGGTCTAGAGAGGTGTAGGGCTGTCACCGGGTTTATTAATACATGATAGCTCGTCCAGAGAGATGTAGGGTTGTCACCGGGTTTATTTAAACATGATAGCTGGTCCAGAGAGATGTAGGGTTGTCACTGGGTTTATTTCTACATGATAGCTGGTCTAGAGAGATGTAGGGTTGTCACCAGGTTTATTTAGACATGATAGCTGGTCCAGAGAGATGTAGGGTTGTCACCAGGTTTATTTCTACATGATAGCTGGTCTAGAGAGATGTAGGGTTGTCACCAGGTTTATTTAGACATGATCGCTGGTCTAGAGAGATATAGGGTTGTCACCAGTTTTATTTATACATAATAGCCAGCCCAGAAAGATGTGACGTAGTCACCAGTGATATCTTGACAATGACATCTTTTGTTAATTCATAGACAAATAGCTTGTGTGTTTATGTGTTACCTGGTATATCTATCGTTTTATCAAGATTTTATCCAAAGTCTACTTCTCCAGGGCAGTTTGACTTGATTTATCATGAAACATCTATTTGGATAGAAGTGATGAGTTGATATTGGATGAAGGGAAGTTGTTAACTCACTGAAACAAATTAAAGTGACAGGGCCAGACTAAACGTAGAAAACTATTTCACCAAGTATATATTGATGAAGCATCCTTTGGCCAAGAAAATCAAATGTTGTGTAAACAACGGTTTTCTGCTGGAACCTGAAGACAGATGAGTGAGGCTAAATAGTAAAAAAGGATAAAATCTAATCAAAAGTCGTGCTACAGAGAAGAAATTGACACTATGGGGAAAAATTAGACTCTTTTCTAAAGAAAGCAATTGACAAACTTAACTGTTCTAGTTTCAGACACAATTATGTGCTCTTATCTAATGGTATGGAATATGTTAAGGATATTAGCTGTGCTGTAGAGATAAATACCAGCTGAAATCTTCAGGCCTATGGGCTTCTTATTGGTGTTTGTTCCGCTGAATTGCTGTAAGATTTCATTAATGTTTTATAAAACTATGGTCTTAGGGATTGTTTATGGTTGACTAGAAATACCAGTCTTACAATTGGGAATTTTTGCTTTATTAAAATGACAAGGAGAGAACAGGCACATCTAACATTCATCAGCCTGACATTATCTCTGTTACATATGGAATGAGAAGAATATTTCTGACAGATCTGATATATTTGTTTTGTGTCATTGTAATACATCAAATACTTCTGTAAGCTGGTAATCTTCAGAGGTTCGATGGGTAAACAGAACTAGAAATATGGAATTAAAGAATAGTATATAGACCTCATATCCAGAGATAGGCTGATGTTACATGGCCGGGGTGGAGGACCAAGGATTCCCCTTATCAGAAGAAACCCTCCATCGCGTTTGATGCAGGGATTACTTAGATAGCGTAGTTGATACCTTTATCAGGTCTTTGGACACTGGTCATTTGCTCGGTAATCCAGATGTCAAGGTGTGAAATGACCAATCACTGAGTCACCCCTACATAGTTTCAGCTCATTGACCTTGTAACATGTGTAACACCTAACCCTGGGATATCTTCTTGTGTGGAAGAAAGTCAGTGGGCAGCTTTATGTCAAGGTAGCTTTTATAGGAAGTTTATGGAAATTCTATCATAAAGAATCTGCAGGACAGCTACCTCAAGAAAGAGGAAATTCATCGGTTTGGATGGATACTGCAATGTCCTGTAGTGAGGTATTTCTGTTAATGGTAAGAGCTCTTGTCAATCATTAGGAGTGATTTTTCAATGGGATGCTTAATGACCTTGAGTTAGAGCCTATTTTATTCATAGGAAATCATGTCTGTATATGAGGTCGTTGTCGCGACAACCAAGGTATTATTTTAGTGTTATGCTGGAAAAAAATAATTATTGGTATGACCTTGAATATAGTAATGCTTAATTTGATACATCCAAAAGGTCAACAGAAATGAAATCACAGGAGTGTCGTAGATTTGTCTTCATTACGCAGCTAGTACCGCTGTCGAGTGAAAACCACATTGTTTTAGATGTGCCAGTATGTCACAGGTAGTGAAAGGATTCTGTGTGGTAATTGGAATCACTGCTATAATAGATGTTATTGATTGTTGCAGTATGGAATAACTACATTTATTCTGTAAATACTTCACAGGAAATGTGCCAGGAATGTTGAAGAAACAATTGATTACATTTATTCTCATGAAATTATAATGATGGCTCCCTTGGCGTGGATAAGTGATTCCTGGGTTAATGATTCTGAAAGCTTTGTGGACTAATTTTCTTCTAGATTACCATGTTTATCTTGAGTATGTCCAGAACACTCGGCAATGTTTGACATTAAGCGCTCCTGAACATTGCAGACCTTACAACTTAATGTCAAATAATCTAGGAAATGGATTTTAGGGTGAAAGACTTATTCGACGTTTTTCCTTGAAATTGCTTACTGCATGTTATTATTGGCAGCTTAAATTTGATGTAAAGTCCTGTTTTAGGAACTAGTTCTTTTATAGTGTAACTGTTGGTCGTACACTGCGATAGGTTGGCTGGTATCATATGGTTGGTAATTGTATTGACAAACATGGCCTTCATACAGGACCAGGAAGGATCTGTTATTGCTGATCTGGGCAGAGTAAAATCCCAATAGTAGACATTATGTTCATTCTTAGTGCTTGTAAAAAGATACTTTTTATATTTTTATGGAATAAAAAGCTTGCTTTATCGAATCTTATCAAGTTGTTTTCATAGTAGATATATGTCTCACTTGTGAATCAACTTTGAAAGTACAAGCCTCAGCTGTTTGGTAACTGGTATCTTCTTTTTAGCTTAGAATATTTCAAAGGTAATGTGTGTGTATATCTGACTTCAGAAGTAGCTTGGTGAACTGGACTTATCATCTAGAATTTTACCATAGATGGACAGTTGTATCATGTTCTTGACATGTCTTCCAAATAAACAGTCAGCTCGACAGAGGAGTATCACCATCATCCCCTGAACTCTGAAAACCACAGCCTCACATCAACTCAAATAACTATCTAACACAAATATAAATACCATTTATTCTAACAGGACACTGTGAAGATTGATATGAAACCTCCATTCTTAAATGGCATTGTATCTGTGAGAAGGCTATGACTCACAGCGTGGAGGTCTTACATTTCTCCTGTCCTGCTGTTCTCAAGTCAAGGTCTCCTTCGCTGCCCTCCATGGTGGTCTATTGATACAAAGCAGCTGGGAAGAGCAGTTCTAAATCTTTCATCTCATCTTCCTTTTCATCTAATTTGCTCAAAACTTTTTTTTTTATTGATTTACAGGTATTTCATTTCCAAAATGTGTTTTTATACTGTTATTTCATAGGATAAATGTTCATTTTACCTCCTACAGAACACACATATTGTTTCATAAATATCATTCATACTTGCAATTCTCCCTCATTAAAAAAGAGATCAAATTTTGGCCCCAATTTCAGAATTAAATCTAATTTGTCCATGGACAACAGCAGCTGAAACCATGGTGTTTTAATGGACTAATTTGGGAACTGAAGGTCTATTTATGTGATCTGTGGAAGATTTGAACTAAACTATGAAAATTAGTGTGATTCCCGATTAATTTCTGAGGTTTATCTACATGATTCCCAATTAATTTCTGAGGTTTATCTACATGATTCCCCATTAATTTCTGAGGTTTATCTACATGATTCCCCATTAATTTCTGAGGTTTACCTACATGATTCCCCATTAATTTCTGAGGTTTATCAACATGATTCCCCCATTCATTTCTGAGGTTTATCTACGTGATTCCCCATTAATTTCTGAGGTTTATCTACATGATTCCCCATTAATTTCTGAGGTTTATCTACATGATTCCCCATTAATTTCTGAGGTTTATCTACATGATTCCCCATTAATTTCTGAGGTTTATCTACATGATTCCCCATTAATTTCTGAGGTTTATCTACATGATTCCCCATTAATTTCTGAGGTTTATCTACATGATTCCCCATTAATTTCTGAGGTTTATCTACATGATCCCCCATTAATTTCTGAGGTTTATCTACATGATTCCCCATTAATTTCTGAGGTTTATCAACATGATTCCCCCATTAATTTCTGAGGTTTATCTACATGATTCCCCATTAATTTCTGAGGTTTATCTACATGATTCCCCATTAATTTCTGAGGTTTATCTACATGATTCCCCATTAATTTCTGAGGTTTATCTTTGTGATTCCCCATTAATTTCTGAGGTTTATCTACATGATTCCCCATTAATTTCTGAGGTTTATCTACATGATTCCCAATTAATTTCTGAGGTTTATCTACATGATTCCCCATTAATTTCTGAGGTTTATCTACATGATTCCCAATTAATTTCTGAGGTTTATCTACATGATTCCCCATTAATTTCTGAGGTTTATCTACATGATTCCCAATTAATTTCTGAGGTTTATCTACATGATTCCCAATTAATTTCTGAGTTTTATCTACATGATTCCCGATTAATTTCTGAGGTTTATCTACATGATTCCCAATTAATTTCTGAGTTTTATCTACGTGATTCCCCATTAATTTCTGAGATTTATCTACATGATTCCCCATTGAATTCTGAGGTTTATATATGTGATTCCCATTGCCTGTAAACTTCGGGGGTTTATTGACATGACGTGTAGATATATATCCGTGTATCAGACATATTGATCTGATAATTGTTTACAGAGTTATTGCCCTCTGTGTAAACTAAACACTACAAACTTGTCTGGTCAACTCAGAAGTTTCCAACGGATTTCCCACTGGAACATATCATTATCTGAAATGATTTTCTTTTATACATGAAAAATTGATCAGATTATCGAAATAAAGAGTGGTTGTACTGGTTTGGTGATGTGTGCAATAAGTTTTAAGAAAGTGTAAATGTGAAGTTTTATACAGAAGTGTTAGTTTGAATTAGTAGAAATGTGTAATGATAACTCTGC